AAACATGACATATAACCTGTTTGTAACACAAAATTTCAAGAATGAATCGCCCAACGTTTCAAGACGCTCATGGTTCAATTCCATATTAGCTGATGGTGTAATTATTGCTTCTAAAAGTAATCATCTTTAATATCTAGGTCTAATTGAGTTCTTAATTCTATAGCCAAAAGTAATGAATCCAACCTTGTGAAAATGGCAGGTAGCATGAGAGCAGATCGAAAAACAGACGCTCGAATAGGATACTGTTTACAAAACTCTGGTGTCACATATGTAGCTGTTCGACCTTTAGTCAAAATTGGCAAAAAGCCTGGAACAGGCTGTAAAAAATTCATAACTTTTGATATTTTACGTACATGAAGCAATGGTTGATCCGTATGTTCTAATTCTATATCAAAATGTTTTTTGTAAACTTTTCTGATCGCCATGACATCTGATATGGGTGATAGAGGATTTAAGTCATAACAAATTCTTTGAACAAGATATCATCGTAGATTATCAGAATAGTCGATTATAACGGCATTTTCTAGATTAGAAATATTATCAAGGTCAATCTGTATATGCTTTTCAGCAGGCCTACCGAATAATTGATTGTGAGGGCAATTAATTGAACTCAGTTAATTGATTGGTGGCGCAGTCACAATTAATTGCAATTTTTGGTGTGATGAATTATTTGCGTGACAAATAAGAGTTCACTAATACGATTAATTAGTAAATCCTTATTTGTCATGTATAATGATTCATCGCAACCATGTGGCAAATGGCTTAATTTTTATGATAATTTTAATGGATAGATCTGCGGTTACATTTTTGATAGATCTACGATGTACTCAAAATATTTTTTGAACTTAGAGCGAAGTTATCTCAATAACTACTTAACCAAATTCGATGAATTTTTTTTGTTTTAATTATATAGATATATGAAATTCAAAAAAAAAAAAAAAAAAAAAAAAAAAAAAAAATCATTGATTTTGATCGGGCGGTTGTTGAGATATCTTCGCTCAAAGTTAGTAAACAAATTCAAAACGTTTACTAAAGTGCGTCAAATTTTTTCTAAAACTTTGAGCGAAGATATCTCAATAAGTACTCGACCAAATTCGATGATTTTTTTTTGTTTTAATTCTGCAAAATATAGAATTCAAATAATAATAAAAAAATTCATCGATTTTGATCAGGCGGTTGTTGAGTTATTCTCGCTCAAAGTTTTATAAAAAATTTGTCACGAATTGATATTTTGAATTTGTTTACTAACTTTGAGCGAAGATATTTCAACAACCGCTTGACCAAAATCGATGAATTTTTTATTTGGATTCTATATATTTGTAAAAATTGAAGCAAAAAAAAAAAAAAAAAAAAATTCATCGAGTTTGGTCGGGTAGTTATTGAGATAACTTCACTCAAAATTTTGAAAAAGATTTGACGCACTTATTTTAATAGATGTTTTGAATTTGTTTACTGACTTTATCGAAGATATCTCAATAATCACCCGATCAAAATCGATGAATTTTTTATATTTGAATTCATATATCCATAGAATTAAAAAAAAATCCATTGAATTTGGTCAAGTAGTTATTGAGATATCCTCGCTCAAAGTTCAAAAATATTTTACTAAAAGTACATCAAGAATGTAATCAAATTTTGAATATATCGTAGATCTACCAAAAACGTAACCGCAGATCTATCAAAATTAAAAATAAAATTTTTGCAATTTTTGCTCTACCAGACATAAAACATATAACCTTACAGGAGTTCAAAATGTTTTAATTATACTGTAGATCAAATGATTTGATATATCTCAATTTCATATATAAATTTATGTAAAAAATTTATTTAATCTTGATTTATTTAAAAAAATAAAAAGAAAGTTTTATTTTTTAAAGTAGGATTTATATTTTTTAGTATTTAATATTTTTTTTTATAAATTTTTATAGAGTATTAAAATATAATATTAAGAAGATCTTGATTCAAAGTTAAACTCTTCTTTACTATGTTCTTTAAGTCAAAAAACTAATTCTGTATTTTATACTGTAGTTTTTAAATTTATATTAGTTAGTAAAAGTATAATTAGTTATATATATAACTTTAATTATTGTCTATTTAAAGATTTCATTATTAAGGTTACTTACTAATTGTTATGTCTAGTATCTATTTGTAGGTATTTTATTTTAAACTCTCTAGTATTATTATTATTTCTAATTTTAGTATAATTTTATTAAATATATACAATCTTATACTATCTCATTGAAGACTATTCAGATCAGCTTATGTTTTAGTTTTTCCTATTAAAAATAGTTTTATCTTAAGATATCTTATTAGTTCTATTCAAAAAAAATCTATAGAATACTCTAACTATACTATATTTTATCTTAGTTAAGCTAGTATATATTTTTATAGGTGTTTACAAATTTAGTTTCTGCTATAACTCTTTATCAAATTAGTTTTCTATATTTTTCAGATATTTCATAAGATAAATCCTTCTAATTCAGTTAGCTACTAAGCTAAGTTAGTATTACTATTTCTTTGTATAATAAACTTACTTATATCTACTTAATCTGTATTCTTCATATATAAACCTTTTAGCTAGATTAAGTATTAATTAGTATAACTATTAAAATCTATATTACTTTATCTAATTTGAGATTTTTACTATACAAATTCTTTGCTTATAAATTCTATTAAGATTTATTCATATAATATTATGTTATACTTCTAATATCTAATTAATATTAATACAATATAATTTATAAGATTACAACTTCTAGAAATAAACAAAGTTTATTATAATTTAAATACAAAGATCTAGATAATTATTCAAATTTATTAATAGTAAGATTTGAATCTTAAAACCTTATTCATTTTTAGAAGTTGTAACTCTGTAAATTATATTGTACTAATATTAATCAGATATTGGAAATATGATATAATATCAAGTTATATTATATGAATAAATCTTGATAAGATCTACAAGCAGAGGATCTACATAGTAAAAATCCTAAATTAGGTGAAGTAGTACAAATTTTGATAGTTATACTAATTAATACTTAATTTAAAAAAAAAGTCTATATACAAAAGATATAGATCAAGTAGATGCAAGTAGATTTGCTATATAATACAACCTAGTACCTTGTATTAATAGCAATACTAATTTGGTTTAGCAGCTAACAGAATTTGAGAGGATTTCTCTTGTAAAACATCTGAATATATGAAAAACTAATCTGGTAAGAGCTATAGTAGGAACTAAGTTTGTACAAATATCTATAAAAATATATACTAGCTTAATTGAAATATAGCATAGCATAGTTGAAGTATTTTATAGACTTCTTCTAATGAGAATAATAAGGTATTTTTTTTTTTTTTTTTTACTTTATACAAATGCTATCAGCTAAACTTTATTAATTTCATAAATTTTAGAAGTGATATATATTGTGAGAGTATAACTAGTTACATGTACAATTTTAGGTTGTCTATTTTAAGTAGTTCATCTGAAGGTTCTACACTAGCTGCTATACCTAAAATCTCTTAGAAGATTTCCTATTTAAACTCTCTTGTCCTATCTCACTTACTGCAAATATTATTCTTTATAGTTAACCATAATTCTATGCTACTTTACTTTGAGAGATACTTAGGCTGATATTAGTCACAAACTTTATTGTTATAGGCTTAGGTCTTACTTAGATAAGTTCTACTTCTATGCTTTCTAACAGATAGATATCACGATATTCTATTATGCTACACTATATCCCAATTTTGCTTGCATATAATATTATTCGATGTTTATACAAATCTAGTTCTAGCTATAGCCTTCTATCAGTTTAGACTTCTAAGTATTTTACAAAGTAGATCCTCTCAATTTAGTTAGCTATCAAGCCAAGTTAGTATTACTACTAAATGCAAGGCACTAGGCTATGTTATACTGCAGACTTACTCACACCTACTTGATTTATACTCAGAAATCCTTGTCAGATTAAGCATTAACTAGCATGACCATCAAAATTTATACTACTTTATCTAATTTGTAATTTTTACTATGCAGATCCTCTGCCTATAGATTTTATTTTGATTTATTCATATAATGCAACTCCAACATTCCATTACACTTCTAATATCTAAACAATATTAGTACAATATAATTTATAGGATTACAACTCCAAAAAATGAACAGAGTTTACTATAAGTTAGATATAGATATCTAGATAATTATTTAATTCTGTCAACAGTATAATTTGAACTTTAGACCTCTTACATGGCAGTCTGACAATTTATCTACTTCACTAGATCACTAGACCTTAAGACAAGAATTTAAAATAGTGAGAAGATAAGATAAGGTAATAGGTAGAAGACATTTAAGTATTTCATTTGAGATTCTAAGAAGTCTAGTAGCTTTGTTTATAGGAGAAGCTTTAATTGTAGCAGACAACTTCTCTATTAAGATTAGTATAGAGAGTAAATTATATATTAATAATGAGATAGATAGTAGAGAAGAGTAATAGTGTTCCTAATTTTGCTAATATAAATTATCTAGAGAGTTAACTTTAATCTAGTTTTGAAAATGCTCTCGAATAGTATCTTTAATCTCTATAGAATTAGTAATTATTGAATTAGGTATAATTATCTTGTCTAAGTTAGGATATCTTGTATGTTGTTGAAGAATACTATTAATTATTTAGCTTGTATTATCCTTCATATCTGAGTATTGTCTGTTGATGTAGTATTTTATTCTTTCATCTTGTTTTATTGCTTTTTCTTAATTTCTGCTTTTCTATATTATTGTTTTGTATTCTTTAAGTTGATCTAGAGTATGTTGTTTGTTTATTATTATATCTTCAGTTGTTATTAGGTTTATAGAAATTTTAGAAGCTTTGGTAACAATTAATAGATAGTAGTTTATTGTAAATATAGAAGTAGTTAGAGTTACTAAAATTAGACAAATTGCTTTGTTTATATAAGTTAGAGTAGAGTAAAATTTTGTTGTTTTGAGTGAGGGTACATTAAATGTTTTTGAAGCTTTGAAGGTAAATAGAATATGCAAATTAGCAGTATTCTTAATTTGGTTTAACCAAATATGCTAGTATTTGTTAAGGTTTTCTGATGTAATATCAGATAGAGGATTTGTCAATAAGATATTAATTGCTTCTGTGAAGTCTGTTCAGTTATCTATAGTTGTTCTGTTATAGAGAAATATTTTCTTTTTTTTTCTTTTGCAATGAGGAGTTGTTGGAATAAAGTTTGTATGCCAAGTTGTAGTTAGGATTTTATGATCACTATCTGATATACTAGTAGTATCTATTAGTATTAAGCAATCTATATCAAGAATCATATCATTCAAGCACTAGATATCATCAATTTAGCTTTAAGTTCGATTATTGCTTTATATAAAATCTGTTATATTATGAAATGAGAGAAGACTAGAGAGATTGTTAGAAGATAA